ATGATCTTTGCTTAGAAAAATATAGAACAAAATTCACTCCATAGAATAATAATTATTCATTATTAATGGAATAGTAAAACAACCATCGACTGATCAGGCAACTGATTCAAATAATTCATAAACCCTGAAACCAGCTCAGAGCAGAAATTGAGCCGAAAATGTACGTCAGATGAATGCAGTCTGGCTTTAAGATGAAAAACCTTCTTTGTGAATCAATCTGCTCGACTCTGAACTCCTCTAGTGGCAGTTTGACGCTTTAACCCTGCAGAGAGTTTTGTTCTACCAAATTATTAATCATTTAATCTATAAAAATACTGAAGGTTTGAGATGAAAGATCAGTTGAAACATCAGAGGTTTCTGTGAAAACATGGAGGTCTGGCATTTTATTTTCAGTTATGGCCTGTATTCCAGGCCGTGGTTCAAAGCTGCAGGTTACTCCTTTAACGTCAGAGATCAGAACTCTGTTCAGGAGCAGCCTGTAGGCGAGGGTTTCAGTGGCTCCTACTCATGAAGGCGCTCTCAGACTCCAGGAGGAAGGCTCTTCTGGACGCTCCGCTCACACTCCTCTGAAACACACAGTCTGGGTCACTGTTCACCTAAAGACAAACTAGTCTGAGGACCAACTGAGCTCATTTCTCACCAGGTAGTGGTTCTGCTCGGGTGGAGAAAGGTCCAGGTAATCTAGAAACAAACATCTAGGTTAGATCTTCATCTGGAGGCAGACCTAAGAACCTGGAGGACACGGTACCATCTTGGACTGTGGATCTGTGGCTGCTGAGCTGATGCTGCTCCCGGCTCCTCCCTCTGACCTCATCAGGTTTACGGTCCGGACCAGAACCCGTCCAGAACTCTCCACCTGCTTCCAACATGCAGACCAGCTGTGGGTCAGGCAGTGGGTTTGGCTTTTCCACCTGAGCTGCTGTGACCGTGGCCTACCTGTGGGCTTCAGCTGAAGGCAGTCGTAGATCTGCAGCGGGTTTCTGGGCTCGGTGGTTCTGGAGTTGGGCCTTCGGACCGGAGCCTGGAGCCTGAGCCGGGCCATGTCGAACACGTCCACCGCCGGGCGCTCCCGCTCTCTGGGCAGATGAGGATAAACACTCAGCATCCTGTTCCAGTAGAAGCCTGCAGGATCTCAGCAGTTTGATCTCTAATCATTCATGAATCAGAACCAAAAACTCTGAAACACCTTCAGGAACATAGTTTCTTCTGCTTATGATCATCTGCTGATGTAACAACGCGGTTTATACAGGAACGAGTAACTCTAATTTAATGCTTTTTAATTCTCTTAGAAATCATTTTAATGCCATCAACAAGTAACCACGATCAACCGAAAGGATTTTAACGCAAATATATTGCGATATTATATATCTGATGAAATAAAGCATTTTAAATGCCACGATAATCACATTTAATGAATCTTAATGCCAATTAAGGCCTTAATTTAAACAATTTAATGACTTTTAATGATTTTTAAAGACCCACGGAAACCATGAACAGCCTTAAAACAGTCTGATCGGAATAAGAGGAAATATTATTGCTTTAAACACAGAGATCTGCTGTGGATCCGCTGCTATTTGTGATAAAAAGACTCCGTTTAAAATTATTTATGACTTTCAGGGTCTCCTCTACATCTGGTCGATGGCGTCACTCCGCCGCTCCAAAATAAAATCCTGCTCCCCTCCTGAATTTTTTTGTAATGCTATGTTCAGACCACATGCGCTAGAAGCAGCAGAAGCAGCTAGTTTATATGCAAAGTCAATGGTTGACACGCATCAATGCGCAGCAAAACGTCCTGAAGCAGCGCGGCATGAGCTTCTGAGCATGTAAGACATGTGACGCGCTTTACAAACAGCGGTCGCTAGAGTTGGAGGAATTTAACTTTTGCTGCTGGACGCGGCGCATCAACCAATCAGAGAAGCTGATCTTTGAGCTGGCAGGGAGACGGACACAGCACTGATGATGCAGAGCGCTATGATCACTCCTCTGAAGCAGGTTATTAACGCCTAAATTAACTTAAAATGTTTAAACCTGCTGGCAAAACGTGTTCGCTTTTATTCTGGTGTCTGCAGTTTGGATTATGTAGATAAAAAATGCCTTCCAGCCGCGATGAACAGTGGCGAAAATCCCAAAGAGAAGACCGGGCCAGAGGTGACCGGGCCAGAGGCTGCTGTTGAAGGGGATTTCCAGGGACAGAGTACAGGTGCACGGGGGTCTGAGCGACTCCGACAGTGAAACAGTATTTGATGAACTGACCTCATAGATGAAGTTTTCAGGTGGACTTTCTCACTTAAAAACATATTAAAACTACTTTTATCCACTGATCACAGCAGAAATAGCAAAGCCGCTCTCTGCCATTGAACACAGGAGCAGCAGAAGCATCTTGACACACTTTACCGGATGCGCTTCAGGAGCATCAAAGCTGCTCTTGACGCATCCCTGACCTTAATGTGGAAAGCATCAAAAATGAAACAGCAGAAGCTTTCTGGCGTCTTCCAGCGCTGGCGGTCTGAATGTAGCATTAGGCATCTGATGCAGCAGATTTTATATTTCTGCACTTATTCTGGTCATTATCAATGTTTAAAATGAATTTAAATGTTAGACTTTATTTTGAAAATCCAACAACATCCCTTTTTCCTGTCTGCCTTGCTGCGAAGCTAGTTAGCGTATGAAGCTAACCGGTGGCTACATGTCACTGTAGTGAAGGAAAACAGGAGACAACGGTCCAGCGTTGATAAACGAAGACCTGAGCTCTTCAGACTGAGGTGATTATCAATGAATGAGCACCACACTGGTGTCATTGCAACCTGTCGCCAAAGGGAGGCGCACATTCCAGGGTTTGGATGGTTGCTCCTTTAAAGTGGCCCTGTAATGAACCATGACCACAAGTAGCTCACTATGGTCGCATCCGAAGGTTTACTGGTCAATTTATGGCGTCCTGTTTGTTTATTAACTCTGTGTTTACCATAACAAGATCACGTGACCTCTCTATTTACAGCTGTAGGCATTCACACTATGAGCAAAGCAGGATTTGAAGAAGCAGAGAATCTTAAAGCAGAGGAGAGGAAAGAGAAAATATGAAGTGGGAAAAAATACTGGATGCTAAGAGGGATAAAAGATAAAATAAAGACGACAATAAAATAAAACGACATGAACGTTGAAGTTTAAAGAAACAGCTGGTTAGTGGATGGATGTGTTACCAAGGACAGCCAGCAGATGGAGACAGAAAACAACGATCGTCTTCAAGACAGACAGACAGACAGACAGACAGACAGACAGACAGACAGACAGATAGATAGATAGATAGATAGATAGATAGATAGATAGATAGATAGATAGATAGATAGATAGATAGATAGATACTCATTATTGAGGAAATCAAACTTTTCCATCTCATTGAAAACAGGACGGCCTCACTGTGATCTTAGGAAGTATAATTCAGAGTAAATGCGTCTCAGACTGTCTAGAATGCTGTAGTTCTAGTTTGGGGAGCAGCATTGTGTGTGTTTGACACATGATGACCTCCTGACCGTCCGTTTGACCTGAATCAGCAGGTCTGTTTGACTGACTGGGTCTAACCTGACATTGACAGGTGAGTCCAGCTCCTCCCAGCTTCCGTTCTGCAGATCACTCTCCAGGCGCTTCTGCTCGCTGCGAAGCTGCTGACGGAGCGCTGACAGCTCGCTGAACAGGTCATGGTGGTCTCCTGAAACCAAGATGTTTTCTCTAATGATCCCACTGAAGCAGCAGCTCAGCAGTGGATCCATGAGCCAGAAAGAGAGTTAGTGTACCTGCAGCTCTGAGCTGGTTCCTACGCGCAGGAACAGGAGGCGACTGAAGACCGGATGACGATCGCTCCTTAAAAGGAAGAAAGAAAGAAAGATGGGGCTAATTATTCATCACTTTAATGAGAGCCCTCTCTGGCTGGGCTTCTCCTCCTTCCTTCCCTTCATTTAGCCTCGACATCAGGTGTTTGTGTCCCCATGTGTCCACTGTGGGTTACTCACAGACAGGGCAGCGCTGGGGGGGCTGGGGGTGTGCTGCCGGGGTCTCCTGTTCTTCCTCTGCAGGGTTGGGATCGGAGGAGAAGGCTCTCTGCAGACCTGGAGACATTCACAGGAGAGCTGCTCAACCTTCCATGTTGCTGAGGAGGAAGTGATGTCAGCAGTGGTTTCCAGCTAAAGCCCTGATAACACCCAATCTAATTTAACGTCCCATCTGAAAGAAAATACTGTGAATGAGGTCGTGGCGTTTAGCTCTGAGAGTCAATGGGGATGATCATACCAGACATGATTTACCGCAGGAGGTATGGTTAGCTTCAACTCAGACAGATTCAGGGTCTATTTTAGCCGGACTAAACAGAAATTCAGCTGCAATATTGGGTCCAACGGGAAGAGAGACGTGGTTACAAAGTAAAATACATCCACTTTTGGGGAAAATAAAAAAATTTAATCTGTTAAAGGCAGGAAAACAGTCAGGATTAGAGTCACACAGCGAGTAAAAAGCAGGCAGGGTAGAAATATCTCTCTCTGTGAATCTCACTGCATAATCCAGCTTATAAACCGTCTCACAGCCTTTATTGCTGCTTTTTCCTCTTCTTTAATCCTAGTTCACATTATATTTTGTATGTATTAAAATCCTCTGTCTGATTTAAGAGATGCTGCACAGGTTTTAAAGCTGCGCCGATTGGTTTTTTTTTTTTTTTTTTTATAATTTCTCCTAATCTGTCCCTGTTGAATGTTGGAAACTGTTTCAGGCACAGAGACGGAGGTGAAAAAACTGCACAGATCAGGATCTGCTCATCCTGCGTAGTCGGAGCCTCTCTATAAGCCGACGCGTGTGGACGGGCTCACAGCGGATGCAGAGAACCAGGCTTTAAGTGTCTGATGGAAGCAGCACCAGAAAACAAAGCTGACTCCTCAGACTGACCTCCTGCACTCTGGCCTGCATCTCTCTCTCATCCTGCCTCCTCACAGCGGCGCTCTCCTTTTCCTCTGCCTCCTTCTTCTTCCGTTCCGCTTCCTTCCTCCTCTGTTCAGCCAGCTGAATCAGCTCCTGGTTTTTGGCCTTTTGCTGTGAGACATGCAGGCAAAGCGTCAGGGAGGAGTGACGGACTGGGAGCTCAGGTCAGAGTCTAAACCTGCTGCTTTGCTTCCTCACCTCCATCTCTTTCCTCCTCTTCCTCTCCTGCTCTTCCTCGTACTCCCTCTGGATGCGGGCCCTCTGCTCTGCCAGCCTCCGCTCCTCCTTCTCCTCCTCCAGTCTGATCCGTTCCCTCTCCTCCGCTTTTTTCCGCATCTTTTCTTCGATCTGTGAATAAAAGCAGGAACCAGGGGACTAGAATGGCTCGGCTGACAGACATGAGGGAAGGAAAATGGCCCCATAAAAACCTGGCTGTCAGAGATGAGCGGCGGGTTAAACAGACCTGCTGTTTGAGGTAAGCTTTGTACTTGTCCTGTTCCTGGAGGTGACGCTCACTAGGCTGGGTGGAAAAAACCTTCCCCCTGGCAAACTGGGTGCTTTGAACATGAGTGAAACCTGCAAAAAGGACAAAAAACTTTATTTAATTAGGAAATGTGTGTTACAGTTTAAATCCCCAGCTTTATTCAAATGACCATCCTCTTGTTCAAACAGAAGCCTAAAATCATCACTGCAGAATGTCATGTTTTTGTCCCGTTAACAGAATTTTATCCACATTTGACTGTTTTTCTTTTACAGATGAAGTGAACATCTGAAAGCTTCCTGTCATTTTGGCAGACTGCAGTTCACATCCTGACCACCTGCTGGCAGATAGTGTCATAATTCACTCTTTTTACCAGATTAGATGCACCAGAAAACCTCTGATGGGCTCATTGAGTGAAATGGTCCTGGATTTTAAACCTTTGGCTGCAGTGTTGCTTGTTCTACTTCAAACTCTTCATAATTCTGGCAGATTTAGATTGAAATGATTTCCACTCTATTCAGAGCACGTAGAAAACGATGCGGGTGTCTTTAAGACAAGATGTAAATGGAGGGAAAGAACTAAAGGTTCAGCTCTCATAAACCTATGAAGCATCATTCCTTCCCGCTATCATCACAATCCATGGAGGGGACAATAACATCTCTAGCCAAACTAACAACTCCCCTTTCAGAGGCATAGACCAATATCAGGTATTTCAAGCTAAAAAAGAACCCAGAGGACTCCCCATTCCTAAGGGACGGACCCGTCCTTCTGGTTTCAATTTCATGTTTTCTAAGCCAAAGAGCACCTCCCCTTTCAGCCTGGCCAACAATACCCTTTAACGACCCCCTTTCAGAGACATAGACAGGTTTCAGATATTACAGGCTAAGAAGAAGCAAAACAACCCTCAATTTAAAGGGGTGGACCTGCTCATCAAGTTCAAATTTGCATGTTTTCTAAGCCAAAACAAGGCTTTGCTTTGGTCCACTCTATATAGTCTTGAACTCAATGCTAAATCTGACATTTTCAATATAAAAAGCTTCCTAGATGGTTTGTTTAACTTTTTTTGGAATAACTATGACCTGGAAGACAGAGAAAACCTGCATAGAAGCCTTATATTAGTAGCCCAAAAACTTGTTTCGGCTTAGAAAACATGGAAATGAAACCAGAAGAACGGGTCCATCATTTGGGTTCTTTTTTAGCCTGCAATATGAGGCTGTGATCCTGAGTCTGGTGGTGTTTACTCACGTCGGCCTTGGCTAATATAATTCGTCACTCACAGCCGACCAGTTGTGTCTGTAACATTAAAGCTGCCACACAAACAGATGATTGCACTCCTGAACCAAAAGCATTAAGAGGGATTCAAGCTGTATGATAAAAAGGGACTTGATTAAAACTAGATATTATGTTTCTATGCTGCTTTGTGATCCAGGATGAATTAACAGCAGCTCTACTCAGCTGTGGGAAAATGTCTCCTCTTTGCCCTGACTGCAGGAGGAGCTTTCAGGAAGGAGCAGCTGCCTTTGAGACGACGCTGAGGGAAAAGGGATACACTAGTGGCTGCTCTAGCAGCTGTACAGAGATAATGGTAGATTAACGCTTTCACATGCAGTTGATTAACCCAAAATAACTAGAAGGTCTCTAATCTTTTTCTTTTTTTTCTCCTAGTTATCAACACCGGGCTGTTGTCTCCAGTTTTCCTTCACCACAGCGACCTGTAGGAGACCCGAAGGTCTGTTTATTTCAGAAAGTTACTGGCAGCAGAACCGTTGCATCAGTGGGTTTAAAGGATACAAACAGCTGGATGTCATCTGCATACATGCAGAAAATGTCCAACTAGTAAAGGCTGGTGGAAGAATGTGAACAGAAACTACAGTGGCTCAATAATCCGGCTAACTACCCTTTTAATACCGTGCCAAGAACAGTCCGAGCACGGTAACCGAGATAACTGTTGCGTGTAAACAGAACACAACTGAACTGGACCATGCCAGACACAACAGAACCGCACTACATCCAGTGCTAGCTCAACAGTAGGGCTCGGCACGGTTCAGCCATGGCTCTGTTCTCTGATAACAAAGAGCGAATGAGCAGACCGCATCAACTCCTATTTACAGTCAGCCAGTGGCGGCCGGCCCATAGGGGGCGCTGGGGCACCGCCCTCCCTGATAAGAAGAGAGAAACGTAAAATATATTTTTAGAAATTAACTCATAAATGTCAGCTTTACTCTCTAGAGTGTTTACATATAAGCAAAACAAATTATATAAACTACATTTCCCTATCTACTGTCATTCATTTGTGGATTTCCACAGACAGACTCCTACCGTCTCTGTTCTGGGGGCTGTGATCAGACAGCCCCACATTTGCAGAGAATCTGTCAATCATGTACTATTGCTAGGTGAATTTAATAATTTAATGGCCAATCAGCATCTCAGAACTTTATGGTGTTGGGGCTCTGAAAATACCGCCCTTTAACAGGCTTCTGCACCCAATGCGCAGGTGCAGACAATTAGAGGGACGATGATGAACGTAACGAGCGAGATGCAGCTCCCATCAAATTCGGTGAGATCCTTATCTATCTACCCGTTTGCCAGAAGTACATCCCTGTTGTAGGATATGAACATTTCATGTCATGGTTATTGTGACCAAAATCATCACTGTTACTGTTATTATATAATAAATTAAATCATTACTGTTAAATTGTATTTACCGGTATTGTCCAATTGTTTATTTGAATTCTTATTCTGGATTAGTTGGAGACATACACTAGGCTATATCAGCCCCACCAAAAATATTTTTCACCAGCCGCCACTGCAGTCAGCTGACTCATTTCACAAGCTTTGCAGCATGTCTGGCTTTACAATTCACAGATCTCTTCACCTGTTTACAACACAAACTTCCTCTCAGCCTGTTAACAATAAATGGCATCAAAAGAGCGTGGTGCGACCTGGGATGATGCCGAGATCTAACCTGACAACAGCCAGATGCATGTCTCGCTCCGCCCAGCTCCACTCACTTACATCTGGGAACCCGCCATAGGAATTGCCTTTACTGAAGGCTGGGCCTTATCAAAACTCCTTGCATATGATTGGATGAGCCACTTGTCTGTCGTCTTTATTGACGTGCTATTTCAACCACTCACACCGAAGCTAACCCGTGACGCTGTGAGAGGAGGAGCCATTTGGTAGATCAAGCTCTTGCCAAATCC